GGATTTCCTTGACTATCCGTTTTAGATCGACATTCGGAAGCCCAGTGGTATCCGCGCCTGCACCGGGGGCAGACAGTGGAAGGTCTTTGTTTCTCTGGGCGTGGGGCCCTGGCAGCTGTGCAATCTCGAGAAAAGTGACCGGGCTGTTTGCAATTGAAGCAGTTTTTGTGTGCAGTTCCCGCAGGGCTTTGAACTAAGCCCTGGAGGGCGGCTCCAATAGCAAGGCCAAGAGTTTGGGAGGGGCCAACGCCCGCACAATATTTTATAAAGTCAGAAATGGTGCCGGTCCGGCGATGGGGCCGGATAACATCCTGGCAAGCAGGGTTTGCATTTTCAAAAGCAAGATGTTTAGTAAACTCACTTTCGTTTTCATCTTTACCAACAAGTCTTTCAGCAGCATCCGCCAGGCGGCTAATAAAATCACTGTAAGACTCTTCGGGTCCCTGGCGGATTTTAGCAAGTGGGGTGGTGGCAGCGCCTTTAGGAGGCAAGCGACGCCAGGCCTTGAGGCCGGCAGTTTGAATTTGGGCAAGAAGTCCTGGTGAAAAACGTGCCTGCTTTTTGTTAGTATCATAAGGGGCAAGGCCCTTAAGTTTCTTTAATGTCCAATTTTTAGCGCTACCTTTGGCCTCGGCGTTGCGGTGTGCAATTTCTCTGCAAACTTCAGTAAATTCTGATTTCCATAAAACAAAATCTCCGCCAGAGATTGGGCCGTAAAGGGTTACAGCAGATTTTAACTCTTTGGTATATTTGAGGCTAATATGACGATAACGCTGATCTTTAGTTTCAACATCGCTATCACTATCAGGGCGGTTTAACTCATCCTCACCGTCCCTATCAGACTGTTCATCAGTGTCTAAAACTGGTGTGGCACCAGCAGCATCTCATTGTCAGATTCACCCTCAGAATGATTAGTTTCGCTTTCCGCGGGGGCCCGAGCTTTAGATCGGGTGACTGGAAAAGCAAGAATATTTTTTTATAATGGAACTCCTTTGTGACAGGAGAGATCTCTGTTGTTTGTGGAAGAACGGTGTAACCTCTGGGAGCTTATAGAAAAATTTAAATTTAGGTGCTCCAAAACAGTTTCCAAAGACTGAATCCCTCTGCAAAGTTTTTCTGTTGCTTCTCCCAAGTCTGTCTGGCACCGATGCAGGCAACGACAAAAGGGGCGCAGGGCCAGCAGGGTTATAAGGTGGGGGCCGATTAAAAGGGCCCAATGAAGAGGGCCAATCGGGATTATTATAACGTGCCGCTGCCTCTTCTAAATCATCCCAATTAATTTCCGGATCTGTGTTTTGTGGCGGGTCTGTAAATTCGGGCGCTGTGAAGGCGCCTGTGGATCGTTAAGAGGGGAATGACTTTTATGTTCTGTGAAGGATGGGTAAAGATCGGGGGGAGTTGCCCCTGTCTCTGAGACAATGGAAAAGGAATCCTGTTCTTTGGGTTTTTTCGGAGGGCAAATAAGGGGCGCAGGGCTAAGACAAACAGATGGAGCTCGGGAAGGAGGTTTGCTACTTTTAAAAACATTTTTCAAAAAGCTCTCGGTCTGGGAGACCACAATGGCAACATCTGGGTGGGAATGGTGGGTTTGTAAAATGTCATTTATGATCGTCCAATAATTGTAGGCTTGGACGGGGATTTTAGAGGGGCCAAAGACCTTGTGATAGTCTTTTAAACAGTCCCCAACATGCAACCAACGTTTCTCATCGATTGTACCTTCCTTGGGGAACCAAGGACATACATCCTCTATAAACAAAAGAAACTTAACCAGATCTTTTTTCTTAACCCGAGTCCCGCGTGTCTTAAGGGATTCTTTCAATCCTTCAATGAATTGTTCGCGTGCTGATAATGTTTGTCTCATAATGTTGCTGCTTCACTTACCGAAATGCAGGTTTTGTATCACACTCCGGAAGGCTATGCTGAACCTCGTGCGAGTCCTGTATCGCAGTTGAGAAGCATCTGCATTGGACTCAAGGCAATCTCTGGTGCTCCTTGGAGGCAGAGATCAAATGCGTGGACGGCCGTCCTTGCCGAAGCGACGTCCAGATCCGCGACCCCCGTGAGGCCCCACGTTGGGCGCCAGTTGTCGCGTCCCGACCGGCAGGACACGTAACCTGGGACCCCCAAGGGGAAGAGGACCTGGATGAGAAAAAAGACACGGAGACGGAGAGCAAGACAAAAGCTGATCAAGCTCTGCTTTATTGTAGCTCCGGTGGCGTTTTTATCTGATACAGGGAGGAAGCACACAATGAGGAAGTACTTGAGATCGGACGAGGCCTAACAAGATTGGTTACAAATACAACTTGGCAGTAGGTGATAGGCGGATCGTTCATATAGGATATGCTAAACAGGCTGTGCAAGGAGCGATATGTAATTGGCTAACAGAAATGCCAAAGGCCCACGTCATTTCGGAGAAACGGTGGTCCAGTAGGAAAGCGAAACTGAACCAAGACATTGCCTTATAAGTTAAAGCGGGCCGCAGGCTAGCATGGTTTCCAACAATGTACACTGGTACAGAAAGAAACTGGAAACACAGGGAATCCAGGGACGATGATCCCTTCAGGACCAGTGGTGTGAGTGGCAATACTGGGAGGGTGGAGGGAGGGTGGGTTGGAAAGGGGAAACC